TGGGGGGGGGGGGGGGCGAGAATTTTTTTGGAGGTGACGTGGATGTACAGGCGAGAGAGAAATTGTGTTTGTGTGTGTGTTTCTTCTCTTACCAGTCGTAATAACTACATCTCTCCAATGTGCAGCTCTGGTAAGCGTACGATGGAATTCATCAGCAAGGATAACCTTACCCCGCGGGCAGCCACTATAGAATGGCCCCATCTTTTGCCCTCCCGTCCCGTAAAACTAAGTAGCAGCTACCCATCGGGTTTGAAGCATGAACAGCAGGCACTTATCTTCCTTTCTGGCAAGAGAGTACTAGACCCCGGCAACAAATTGAGGTGGCCGGCTTCGCCAAGGAATTGTGTGTGTTTGTGTGTGTGTCATAGAATAGAAAGGTGTCGTTAAGGATGATCCGTTATATATATATAAACATATACATATATGTGTGTTGTTTTATTCTTACTATTTTTCCTATAAACTAGATACATATCACTGCGGTGCAGATGCACCACCCACCGCTCCCGCTTTATATATATATATATCTATATATGTCCTGCTTTTTTTTTTTTTTTTTTTTTGGAGCCGACTGCAGATAAATATATGTTTTTGTATAAAAATCCATGTATATAATTTTATATATTGGGTGCATAGATGCTTGTTTTTTATTTTATTTTATTGGCTTTTCTCCCCCACCCCCCACCCCCCCCCCCCCTTCACTCACTCAGTCATCCTACTTTTTTCTGCAATACCACCTGTTTTTTTTTTGACTTTTTATTTGTTGTGCGTTTTGGAGCCATGGAGAGACGGGAAGTGGTGCGATGCTTACAGAAATGTTTTTTTTTTTTTGTTTTTTGTTTTGATTTCTTGATGCTGATATGATACATGCATGCATGCATACGTGTACGTGTATGTATGCGTATATTCCCCCCTTTCCCATACTTGCCTTCCGCAGGTGTATTTAAGGACATGAATTAAAGTGCAGAAAAAAAAAACACATGTTGATTCCATTCCGCATTGCCATTTACATTATTGCGTATACGCATCGTGATGCATGGGTTTAATATTTATTTATTTATTTATTTATTATTATTTGTGTGTGTGTTGTACGACAGAGGCAGCGATAGCAGCAACCGTTCAAAGGGCAAAGTGTTCCGTGCGCTATACAAAAAGTCAACGGTACGCCTTTTATTTTATTTTTATGGATATTCTTTTAACTCTGTTGTTTTTATACAGATATGTTATACACACCTGCACGTGTATATATGCAGTTAGAGGGAGAGAGCTTAAAGAAGAAAAAAAAAATGTGTTTACTTTCCTCTTCCGTTGCAGCCATTTCTTTTCAGTGTTTTATTTATTTATATGCATGCGTCCTTGTACTCACTGCCTGTTAACTCCATTGTTCGAGTATATGGTGGGATTCTTCTCTTTTTCGTGTGTCTGGTAGTTTATTTTGGAAAAAAATCCAAGACTACATCATAAATTGTCAGCACAGAAGAAGCCTTGGAGCTGTTAAGAGGGTTTTATCGTATACGAACATAAATACATATATCGGTGTACATTTTGGGTCGTCGCGTCTTTTTTTTTTTTTTTTCTTCTTAACATTAACCGAATTGACATGTCGGGGGCCGTAGTGATTGATGGCAAAGGGATTGCCGAGACGATACGGGCGGAGATGAAGTCAGAGGTGGAACAACTGTGGGCGAAGTATGGCAGGCGGCCAGGGATTTCGGCTATCATTTGTGGCGAGCGAAAGGATTCTCAGACTTACGTGCGACTGAAGAAAAAGGCGGCGGAGGAGTGCGGGTTTGTAACCTTCAATGTTGAGCTTCCTGCGGACGTGACGCAGGAGGAAATTCAAGCGGAGGTTGAAAAACTTGATCAAAATGCGGACTGCCACGGCATTATTGTGCAGCTGCCTCTGCCAGACCATATTGATCAGGACGCCGTGCTGAAGAAAATATCCCCAGAGAAGGATTCCGATGCGTTGCTTCCCGTCAATGTGGGGCTGCTGCACACCAAAGGGTGCGAGCCTCTCTTTGTGCCATGCACCCCTGCTGGTGTGATTGAGCTACTGAAGCGAAGTGGTGTCACGATGGCAGGGAAACGCGCTGTGGTTCTTGGACGCAGCAACATTGTGGGTGCCCCAGTCGCCGCATTGCTAACAGCAAATAATGCGACTGTTACCGTCGTCCACTCCGCCACGCCGCTTGCGGATTTGATTGATGTTGTCCGGTCGTCCCACATAGTTGTGGCAGCCATGGGGAAGCCAGGATTTGTGCGGGGTGAATGGATTAGGGAAGGCGCCGCAGTCATTGATGTGGGCACAACTCCCGTGGACGACCCTTCCAAAAAGGCAGGATATCGAATTGCCGGCGATGTGTGCTTTGAGGAGGCGCAAAAGCGTGCTGGCTGGATTACCCCAGTGCCTGGTGGTGTTGGCCCAATGACGATCGCAATGCTGCTAAAGAACACTCTTGCAGGCTTCAAGAGGAGTCTTAGTCAGGCCTGAGGGATGAGTGAAAGAAATCTCAGCTAAAGTGAGCTATTTACAAGACTTTACTTTATTATTATTATTATTATTTAAGAAGAAAGACGGAGGGCGGCTCTTTATTTGTTGGAATTTCTATTTCTCTCCGTGAATCATTCCGGCAAAGGAGCGAATTATGCGGGGTTATCTACAAAATGGAACCACGCCTAGTCGCATCTCCTGTCGATGGCATATTGAATCTGTCTCTGTGTGTGTCTATGTGATGGGGCAATGCAATTTGGAAAAAAAAAAAATAATAGTAATGATAACTAGTAGAGTTTTTTTTTTTTTTTTTGGAGGGGGGGCTGCGACCGTAGACAATGAAGGATATATATATATATATTCTTTTGGGGGGTGTTTCAATTAAAGTATTGTGTCTATTTTTATTTATTTATTACACGTATGGCTGTGTGCGTTCCTATTGAATGGCTGGTGGTTTGATGGGCAAACAAGAAGGAAGTAGGGATATATATATATATTGTCATCTCTACAACTTTCCCTGAAGGAAGATGTTTCCGCATCTTTTTTTATCTATGCGACGATGAGTTTTCTTATTTGCTCTGTTATTCATGCCACTTTTGCTGCTTTACTTTTTTTTTTTTTTTTTTTTTTTTGGGTGTGTGCAGTCTCTCTGTGTACGGGGGTACTTTATTTTTTCTTGTCGGTAATAATTTACCGTTGGGTGCCAACAACAATGCCTGTGATGCCTGCGACTTTAGGGACTCGCGGAGGTGGCGAACAGACGGCAAAACCGAGCAGCTTTGAGCGAATGGCGGCCATTCAGGAGGAAATTGCAAAAATCGAAACTCGTTTGCGTTCCTTGCAGTCAACCGAGGATGCCGATGACACGCCATGGACCTCAGCACCGCAGGAGGATATGGATCCTGCCGTCGCAAAGATGCTCTCAGTTGAGCTTTGCCACTTGGCTGCATCTGGCGACAGCGTGGGTGTGCGTCTACTTCTAGAGAGCGGCGCGGACACGGACTGCAGGGATTACGACGAACAGACCCCACTCCACATAGCCAGCGCTCTGGGTCATGTCCAGGTGGTTAGATTACTTCTTGAGTTTGGGGCTGACCCGACGCTTTTGGACAAGGATGACAAGACGCCTTTTAGGCTGGCGGGGGAGAATAATCGCAGGGAAGTTGTGCAGCTTCTACTGAGACACTCTCAGGAACATGGCCATGAACTGGACGCTTGTGGAAAGCCGGATAGTTTTTTGCTTGATAGTCCCATTATGTCTGCACATCCGGACTTTTCACAGATTCCCCAACCAATGATGGGAAGTCTTATTGTCATCATGGTAGGTCTCCCTGGTAGGGGGAAGACATACATCGCGAGGCAGATTCAGCGCTACTTCAAGTGGAATGGGCTACAAAGCAGGATTTTTATACGCTCTACATACAAAGAGAAACTTGAAGAAGGTGGCGTCGTATCTACGGCTTTGAGTGCGGCGGAGGTGGAGCGTCGTATTGCCGCTGCCATCGCAAAAGACATGACACAATTTATAGATGAAACCGATGGTGTGGCGGTGCTGAATGGCACGAACTGCAGTCCGTTGCGTCGCATGGCATTGATGAGCGCGATTCGAGAAACGGGCCTCATACGGCCGAATCGTGTGATATTCGTGGAGGTTGTGAACAACAATTCGGAGATTGTGCGCCTAAACGTGAACCGCAAGAAGGAAATAAATCCTGGGGCCACACAAAGCTTTGTCGATCAGTATTATGCACGGATTGAACGTCTGAATGCTCTATACAAATCCCTGAGTCCCACCACAGACAGGGATCTCACGTATATTCTTATTGAGGACCAAACTACATTTGCACTAAATAACATCTCTGGATGGATGCCGTCACGACTGTCGTACATGCTACATAACTTAAACCATGCACCTAGCAATCTTTACCTCACGCGTGCTGGGGAATATGTTGACTTGATTGCCGGTCGTATAGGCGGAAACTCGCGACTGACAGAGCGTGGACAGGCGTATAGTGAGGCGCTTTTTGAGTATTTTCAAGGGGAATTACAAATGAAATCGTTTACAGTGATGAGTAGTTGTGCCCTTCGATGTATAGAAACAGTGCAATACTTTGAGGAGCAGAGTGTACTTCAACGCAGTAGCGCCTCTGCTGCGCAAATTAAAGAACCGAAACTGAACTGTCGTGTGGCGTACTTTCCCACACTTGACAGTCTGAACCATGGTGACTGTGATGGACAGTTACTTTCTGATGTTCGCAGGGCAATGCCAAGTACATTGCTTCATATGCAGGCAGATCCATACCACACAGCGTGGCCAAATGGAGAGTGTGTCCATCAGCTCTACAATGCACGACTTGAGCCTCATATTCATGACATTCAGGCGAGCACCGAGCCTGTTCTTGTGGTCTCACACCTTCAGCTGCTGCAGGGTCTTTATTCCTACTTTGTTTCCGAGAATGATGACTTTGTGGCTCCACAAGATGCATACAAGATTGATATTCCTTTTGAGAGTGTCATTAAAATTCGTCTTGTGGGCTTCAACCGCGTCGCGGAGACCATCGATCTCTCAAAGGAGGTGGACCGAATCCAACACCGTCGCACCGGGAAGGTGACGAAGGCAACGCAGCAAAGTAGCCTGAATATTTTTTGTAGGTCTGGTAAGAAGTGATGGAGGATGCGGTGATGAGAAGGGAATAACATTTGCCACAGCAGATCAACCGATAAAATGTGTGTGTATATGTTTTGCCTGCCTCTCTGTTTCTGTTTTTTTTTTTTTTGTGTGTGTAATTGTAATTATGTGTTTTTTGAGACAACAAAATGGGGTCGCAACAGCAAGAACAAACAGGAACGGGAATGAGGAGGAGGTGTCTAGAGTTGTCTAGGCTCTGAATGCGAAGGAAGCGTACGCTGTGAATACACCGCTTTTGTTCAACTGTGGTTTGTGTTACACTTAATTGCACGTGGAATGTGCATGAGCTTTTGTGTTTTTTCCTCCTTATTTTTTTTTCGTTGACTTTGTTTTTGTTTTTATTTCTTCAAGTCTTTCTGTTGGGTTGTGGTTGGTGGTTCAGCTGTCTGCAAGGCCATTGAATGTCTCTCAAGGCGAAGATTGATGTGTTCCCGTTTGGGGCATATCTGCTGCAAGATCCTTCCCTGATGAGAGTCATGCAGGCGGTGGTGCGGGGCGCCAATAATACTAATAATAGCGGTAATATGAACGAAAACAGCGGTGGTGGCGGTGGCGCCGCGAATAAACGCCGTGACGCTGGCGGCAATACCTCTCAATCCGTGGAACGGCGACTAAAAACGCCACTTGAAAAACTCATGAGTCTCAAGGCGCGCTGTCGCGAGGAGCAGTGCGTGCACTCGGTTGAGGGTGTTCTTCTTGTGCATGTCCACGACCACCCGCATGTTCTTTTGCTGCGACACGCGAACACAAAGGCGTCAGCGCATTCACGCGTGCTGCCGGCGACAAACACAAATAACTTGGCGGTATTTTCTTTGCCCGGTGGCCGGTGCAGGAAAGGCGAGCCGGAGGAGATATGCCTGCTGCGAAAACTTGGCAGGGACCTGTTGAATGAGAAAAAGAGTTTGATGGCGTCACGGACGGCGGAGAGCGAGTCGTCCGAGATGGTGGTTGAGGTGGGTGCATCGCACAGTTTGGCGGTAGCGCCGTCATCATCGTCCTTTCGGGTCGGTGAGGCACTTGGGCGGTGGTACAGGCCACACTTTGATCCTTTTATGTATCCGTATGTCCCGGCACATGTGGCGGAGAGCGATGTGAAGGAGGTGCGCACCGTTTTTCTCGTGCACCTTCCACCGCAGATGCTGCTGACTGTGGCGCAGCGTGACGTGGAACTGGTTGCAGCGCCGCTGTTTGATTTGTATGAGAACTCCGCGAAGTACGGCCCGCTTATAGCCTCCATTCCGACACTTTTGTCACGCGTAAACATAAATTATTGCAAGTAAACGAAAGGAAAGGAAAAGGAAAACAACAACGAAAAACAAGAAGAAAGGGGAAAACGAGAAGCGCTTGATGAATTATTTTTTGTTACCGTGATTTTGACTTCTTTACAATGAATACACACAAAATCTCTCACACTCTGTTTTTTTTTTTTTTCTGAGAATTCATTTTGTTTTTCTTCTTGTCTCCTTTGATTCTTCTGCTGTTAAGCTCGCAGAGTAATTAAACGAGTTTTCCGCATTCTGTCAAGAAACAGGAAGAAGAACTGGATCCAAGCCGTTTTATCGAACACACACACACACACACACAGAGAGAGAGAGAGAGAGAGAGAGATACAGACAGACCGGCAGAAATACATACGTACAGAAGGCAATTAATTGTGGAACACCAATGGGACAGAAACAATCTTTGAATGCTTCCTTGCACCGTTACATTTATAATCATGACACCGATGGCCTGATGGGATTTCTTGACGCACACGAGGCTGAGCTCAACAACGCCTGCATGGATGAAAACATTTACGTTGAACTTGTGCAACGACAGTGGGATACCGCGACGATTTACCGTTTTGCCAAGTTTGCAAACGACCAGCAGCTGGCTGTTCTCATAGCAACCGCTGTGCTTTGCAGTCATTTGATACCAATTGCTCCTATTTTTGAATTAATGCAGGATTGCAAGCGCACCATTGAGCAATATCATCTGAAGCATCTCTTCTTAATTGCCTGTGAGCGGGAGAACGTGGACGCCGTGCGTGCCTTTATTGCAAATAAATGCTACGACCCGACAGATCGACGCCCTGTTCGTGCCGTTTTACGGGCGCAACTGAATAAATCGGTGGTAAATGAGGAACTGGTGAAAATGGTTTTGGCGGCACATCCGCTGCAGACGGACAACGTTGAATACATTCGCAACAAATGCCTTAGCACAGCAAAAAATGAGGGAGTTCGCAAGATGGTAGATGACCTTCTTGTTGAATATGTTTCGTGAAAATATCTTTGAGAAGAGAACAGATGAGGGGGTGGTGCTTGCGGTGCCTCAAGGCACATGCATTTTGTGGGACTACAACTTTTTTATCATCTACAAAAAAAAAAAAAATCAATGAAAAAAAAAGAAAATGTTTTTTGCAGAATTTTCTTTCAAATTATTTGTTGAAAGTGTAATTGCAGGTCGTTTTTTTTTTTTTTTTTAACTATGCAGCTATAAATATTCTTTTCTTATCTTTCTCCCTGTATAAATATACAACATAAAAAGGAGGGAGGGGAGTGGACCGCAAGGAATGAGGCGATTTTGCATTGTGAATGCCTTGCGTAGCAGTGGCGTAGTGTTTCTTACCACAGCCACGCCACCGAGCACCAACAGTACTGCCGCTGCAAATAACGCAATGAAAAGTTCTCAGTTTGCGTTGCCTTTGAATAGACAAATCCGACATGGCCTTAGCTCGGACTGGCGCGAACAGGTGCGGCGTTCGGGCGGCGTTCTAAATGACATCTCGCCCGCTCTACCGGACAGTAATCGCACCGACGATCAGCGAAAGCGTGTTGCGGGTTGGCAACCGGTAGTGAAGCTCCTGGGCGACCAGCGGCTTCGAGTGGCAATTGTTGGCCGCATGAACAGCGGCAAATCGTCTCTTTTTAATTTACTGAGCGAAGACCCGACGATGCCACATCGGAAAAACATTGTCCGTGACTTTGACGGCATCACGCGTGACTCGGTGGAGGGCCATGCCCAGCTGGAGGGAATGCACTTCACCATCATTGACACGCCGGGTATGGTGAACGGAAAACTGGTGGAGGAGGCATTTCGTACCGTGGAAACGGCGGATGCTGCCATTTTTGTTACATCCGTTGACGAGGATTTGCATTCAGCTGAATTTGACCTCATTCATTACCTGCAACTCAAATGTATGCCAACATTCGTGTTGGTGAACAAGATGGATCTCGTTCCGTTAGACGAAGAGGACCGAGTTCTTGAGCGATACAATGAACTCGGACTAGGCAATGCCATTCCATTCTCCGCACGACGCAAATCGGGGATGGAAATGCTTGCAGCCGTGTTGGAGCCATTGTACCACATCCACTCTATGCAAAAGGTGGAAAATGACTGGGACATTGAGGACCTTGCCATGCAGGGGGATGAGTCCGCCATGGAGGAGATACGTGACCGCAACTGCGCAGATCGCTTTATTCGCATAGCGCTGGTAGGGAGAACGAATAGTGGCAAATCAAGTTTAATCAATCGTTTAGTGGGCTTTGAGCGCAGCCGTGCTGTCGATGAGAAGAATTCCACACGTGATCCGGTAGAGCTACCATGTATCTATAAGGGACGTAAAGTGAAACTCATTGATACTGCTGGTCTGACAAGAAATCGATTCCGTGCCGACCGTGATTTTATTGGCCGTATTCATGATCTTTCAGTAAATGAGATTCGCTACGCTCATGTGGTGATTGTTGTTTTTGATGCCACAGAGGGCCACCCGAACAAGTATGACATGGCTGTGTTACATTCTGTTGCCGCAGAGGGGCGACCTTTTTTACTGTGTGCCAACAAGTGGGATGCGGTTCTGGATCAGAGTGCAACCGCAGAGGCTATTGACTTTAAAATCAAGCGACAGGTACGAGAGGTGAAATATAGCAACGCTGTCGTTGTCTCTGCTCACACAGGACTGAATCTCACTCTACTTATGGACCAGGCATTATTACTTTATGATACATGGAACAAACGTGTGCGCCGTGCGGAGCTGACACGTCTCTGGCGCAAGATGGAGAAGTCTGTTATCATTCCATACCACGTTGCCCGTGTAGGACGCATCACGCAGGTAAATACACGTCCACCGACCTTCTTGCTTCATTTGCAGACGAAGAATGATGAAAACACATTGCCAAGGGCACTTCAGGAAATGATGAAAAATACAATTGTGGAGGAGTTTGACTTTCGTGGGGTTCCCATCCGTCTTATTCAGGAAGTAAAGGACTCTAACCCCGACTACATTTAACTTTAGCGATGCAATGCAGTGAATTGTGTGTGTGTGTTTTTTGTTTCTGATCGTATAATTGTGGACGGCGGTGTTTTTTATTATTATTAAAGTCATCTGAATGTCTTGTATTCTCTTTCTCTCATGTTTTTCTTTCCAGCTTTCTCTTTTGGTGGTACTACCTTTTTTTTTGTTCTTTTTTTTTTTTGGAGGGTAAAGGGAACGACACGCTGGACGGAAGTCAACAATAAAATAAAACAAAAACAGAAGGATACGTGGACGTTCAATAAATGCGTAAAAGAAAGCGCACACGCTCGATCTCGAGCACGGAAGACGTAGGCAACACCACCAACGATGATAACAAAAAAGTGGTGGAAAATGGGGCGCGTGATGTTTCCAGCATTGAGAGTGAGGCGTCGTGTGAACCAACACGGCCTTTGGGTGTATTCATTTGGAGTGACGTGAGCGTGGTGTTATATGCCTGTATGCTAAAACAGTTGCATTATACGTGCGGCGTTCTTGCTATAGAGCGGTCAAGGGATGTGCGCCAAAATATGATTTATGCATTGAAATCACGTCTAGTATCCTTTTGGGAGGCTGAGACAGCAATGCTGAGCGCCATAGAGCAGGAGAAGCTTGGTAGGGTTTTTCATTCTCACGTCAATGCCATGTTGGAGCGTTTCTCATCATTGGTTGCTGCAGACATGACGGGACGTGACCTTTGTCATGCGTTTTTACAGGTACTTGACGTGTTTGGGTTCCCTGAAGAGGAGAGTGCCGAGGAGTCGTTACTAGTTGCGAATATGCGGAAGAACGCCGATCCTCACGCGTATTCGTACCAGGAGCGAACATCACATAAACTAAGCGTTTTGCCACGTTATGAAGGGGATCGTCGAACCGAGGAACAACATCGCTTGCCGCGTTTGGGAAGTGTCGTCCAGCTTCCCTCTCCTCACCCACATTCAGAGATCAACACGGATGTTCAGTTGATTGAACCAAGGAAGCGTCGTCCTCCACTCGACGAAAATCGCATCTTTTCTCATCCAAAGAAGGCGACTTCCTCCGGAATGGAGGACATCCTCGTCGACGAAGAGCTGCGCTACCGCTCCCTTGTGGTACT